AGTGGCTTCGGCCGCCTGCCTCTGCGCGGCGTCCGGCAGCAACATGATGTCCAACAACATAAACACAAGCTTTCGCCGCCGTCGCCGTCGCCGTCGCCGTCGCCGTCGTCGCCACTCTGTCTCTCAGTCTCTCTCTCTCTCTCTCTATCTATCATTTTTTTTTTTTTTTTTTCTCTCTCTCTCTCTGGCGGCAACAGCAGGGCGCCAGCCCATCCTGTCCTCGGAACGAGACCTGTCCTATCCAGTCCCATCGGACCTATCTTGGATCCTGTGAGGGCCTCTTTGGGCCATCCGATCTCCTGATGTCTTCTCCTGTCCCATCCCATCCTGGAGCCATCTTGGCTCAGGCCCGGGTTGTTGGATGGGCGGGCGTGACTTTCATTTCAGACCCCCGGCGCTGTTTCTTCACAACGCCGATCCCCCAGCGACCTCGACCCTCCTGACGGCTTGGTTTTCATCGCGGGCGAGATTCTGACGGCCCAAAGCCGTATTGTGATGGCCTTACTACCAGTGCCGCCGACCCTCAAGGCGGGACCTTCCCCGGGACCCCCGTCGGCGACACCCCCGGGGTTTCTGTCCCTTTGTTCACGGGCAGGCGGGGGGGGGTCTTGATTCCCCCCAGTTCGCAGGGGGACCATCCCCTTGTCCCCACTGTGCATAGGGGGGAGTGGGGGGAGAGCGGGAGTAGGGAAAGGGGCCTTGGGCCCCCCCTGCCCACAAGGGGACCCCCCCCTGTTCCCCTTGCCCACAGAGGGGACCCGGGAGGGGATGTATAGGGGGGTGCAGTGAGTTCCCCCTGTTCACAGGGTGGACCACCCCGTGTCGCTCTCTGTCCACAGGGGTGATCTGATGGGCTTGTTTTCCACCACCACCATAAGTTGGAGAGGGAGGGGGTCCTCCTCCTCCTCTTCTTCCTTCTTCTCCTCCTCCTCCTGGTGGAAAACATGCCCATCATGACCGGGGAGGGGGGGCGGCAGAAATCTGACCTGGGCCCCCCCCATACCCCGGGTCTCGTGACCGGGTGCTGAGGCAGGACCGTGCTCGGCGCGAGCGTGCAGGTAATCGTGCTTCCCCCCCCTCCTTGCGGGCCAGGCGCGAGAGCGGCCAGCGGCCGCAGGGTCCTGACCTCTCGGGGCCTCCTCCACCGCCCCCCCCTCCCTCCTCGCTGCCTGCCCCCCTCGTCCTCCCGCTCTCCCCTCCCTCCCGCCCCTCTCCCTCCCTTCTTTTCAGGTGGAGCTGAGGCGCTCCAGGACGCTGGCGCCCAAGGCGAGTTCCGGTGCTCGACGGCCTCTGAGCCCAAGGTTCGGGTCCGTTCGATTAGCGTTATGTTGCTGACGTGCGACCGCCTGGCTGCCGCCCTGGCTCGCGATTGAAATGGGAGTACCTGGTGGTGGCCCTTCAGAAGACCCGGCACCCGGGCGGAGGCGGCGCTGGCGTTGTCCGGTGGATCGCAGGGCTCCTGGGGAAGCACGTGCGGCGCGCTCAGTTTTCTGGCCCTCCTCCCTTGAAGGCGGGCCGACCCAGTCCCCGCCATGCGTGGGATCGGCCTCCCCCTCTCCGGAAGGTTGGTGCGCTCTCTTCTGGCGCCCCTGCCCGGGGAACAGAATGCCCGCCCAGGCCCCAGGTGACTGGCGATCCTGCACTGCCTTCGCCGGTTCGCGGCCCTCGCTGCGCCGTGTGCCTGCGGGCCGGCTGCCAGCCCCGACCCCGATTGGCCCGTCGCCACGACGGACGCGACTTCGAAAAACTCGGGCGGCGCCCCGTGTGCCGTTGTCGGCGTCTTCAACTGGCGCCGTGTCTATGATGACTACGTGCAGACGCCGTGCCTACCACGGTTGCGGGCACCACCGCTGCCACGCGGTGTCTGCGGAGGGGTGTGCGGAGGCGGCCGTGGATGCGACCCCCCTTGGTCCACGTGCCCCGCAGTTGCGGCGTGGTCTTCGAGCTGTCCTTTCCTGCCCTGGCTCCGCGCCGCGAGAAACACCCTGTCCCTTCCTGCCCCGCCCCGCCCTGGCCATGCCCCGCCGTGGACATGACGACTTTCTTGTTGTTTCGCGACAGCGGCCGTTACTGGCCCCGACCGCCCTCCACAGGTAACGTCACGATTCATGCCGCCTTCGCGCTGTACTTTTTCTAATCTCTCGACATTCCCAGACGGCGCCGGCGCAAAGCAAGACGTGGCTGGCCCGCCTCCCTCCCCCCCCCGGTGAGGCCCGTCGTCGCCCAAGAGTGAAGAAACGCTCTCCTACCAGCCCCCGTCCGCACCGCTCCCTGGGCCCCTGGGACATGACACCCACGGCCTCGCCGCGCCCAGGGCTCGGGGGGGCGGCGGGCCTCCGCTCGGCGCGGCGGGCCCTGCGCGGCGCCCCTCCTCGGCGCGGCGCCCCCCTCGGCGGCCCTTCCCTCGGCGGCGCGGGGCCGCCCGCGGCGCCCCCCTCAGGGCGCCGGCGGGCCCTCGGCCGAGGCGCGCCCCTCGCGCGGGGCGGGCCGCCCGGCCATGGGCAGCCCGGGGCCCGCCGCGGCGGCCGCGGCGGGCGCCCCAGCGGGCGCCGCAGAGGCCGCCGCGGCGGCGCTGCAGCCCGCGGACGCCGCCGCGCTGGAGGCCGCCGTGCGGCGGCTGCGCGCCGCGGGAACGGGGGCGCTGCGCAGGCCGCCAGGGGCCAGCGGCGGCGGCTGCGGCGACGACGGCGACGACGACGACGACGACGACGACGACGACGACGACGACGATGGCGGCGGCGGCGGCGGCGGCGACGACGGCGGAGGAACCAAGGAGCCAAAACATGATTTTCCAATCCCGTTGTCGACGACCCACCCCGCCTGCGCGTCACGAGAAAATCGCGACGGGATGTTGTTTAAGCAGTTTTCGGCCTCCAGGGGCCCTTGTCGAGCCCGGGGACTGGCAGAAACTAACCCCGTGCCCCCAGTAATAAAGCACCCCCCGTTAGGGTTGATATTTGATTTTCCCAGGCCTGGCCGGGGTTGGCCAGCACAGAGATTCGATTTCCTCAGGCTTGAGATTTGATTTCTCGAGAGAGGGGCGGGGAGGCCGAACTTCATTATCGCACGGGAGAGTACGAATCAAAATTGCAATCCTCTTGTTGAGTAGCGTTTGTCGCCTGCACTTGTGCAGTGCGGCCGCCGGCGCCCCCACGCCCGCCCGTGCCTGGCCCCACTCCGCGCCCTTTGCTCCCGCCGTTTGTGCCTCATCGCAGTGCGGCCGCCGGCGCCCCCGCGACCGCCTCTGCCCGCCCTTCTCCGCGCCCTCAGCCGCCTGGCTGGCACGCTCCACCTTTTGTGGAGCGGCCGCCCCTGGGCCAGGCACCCCTGGCCGCCTCTGTTGGTCCTGCAAGTTTGCCCTCCCCGTCGCCAGCGCCTGTGCAGTGCGGCCGCTGGCGCCCCCATGCGCCCGCCCGTGCCCGCCCCCATTCCGCGCCCTTTCGTTACCTGGCCGCGCCGTATCCTTGTGGAGCGGGCCAACTCCGTGCCTGGCACCTCCGGTCGCCTCGTTGGCCTTCGCGCTTCCAGACAAATCGCCCGCCTTGGGTTCGTTTTTTGTTGCTTCCCTCTCTCTCCCTCGCCCGCTTTCCTCCTTCCCCTCCCTCCGGTTGCCTGGCGCCGCGAGACGACTCGGCTAGAGGAGGTGGAACTCACGGCGTAGGGGAGAGTCGCGGGGACTACCACCACAGTGCATGTGGGCTGGAGCTGAATCTGGGTCGGGTTGGCTTCCACAGTTTCGAGCATGGCGTAATGGACAGTCGCGGGGACTGCCATCACAGTGCACATGTTTCGGAGCCGCAGCTCCTGCCCTGTGCTGCCACGTCCCCTGCCCCACTGGACGCCTGGACGCGCCGCCCGCTGGCTCCCGCGTCAGTGCGTATGACATCGCAGGTCCAACTGACGTATACCTATGAAGCATTTTGCCCAGGGCCACCCATGGACGCGTACACTGTTTCCCCTTGCCCGGTGCATCGTGCCTGCTGACGCGGTCTGCCTGGCCAGCTCTCCGGCCCCCCGGACGCCGTCCCCGCCCTCCGCGGGCCGCTCTGGCTGCTCATAAAAGTCTTGTGCCTGCGTGTGCTTGCCCTCTCCCCCACGCGGCCGCGCTGCCCCTCTTTTTCCCTCCTCCCGCATGCCGGCCAATTCGTTCTATATTGCCCGTTCATCTCTTCCACGCTGGAGCGGATTGGCCCGTCTCGCTGCCGACGGAAGAAGCTGAGTAGCGTTTTCTACATCGTGCAGTCTACTGTTACCATTATTGTTACTATTGCTACTACTACTACTACTACTACTACTACTACTACTACTACTACTACTACTACTACTACTACTACTACTACTACTACTACTACTACTACTACTACTACTACTACTACTACTACTACTACTACTACTACTACTACTACTACTACTACTACTACTACTACTACTACTACTACTACTACTACTACTACTACTACTACTACTACTACTACTACTACTACTACTACTACTACTACTACTACTACTACTATACTACTACTACTACTACTACTACTACTACTACTACTACTACTACTACTACTACTACTACTACTACTACTACTACTACTACTAATTCCCCAGTCAGAGCTTGCCTCTGTAGGGGTCCTGGCGGATTCATATAGTTAGGTTAGGTTTGCCGCCGATTTCGCCGCACGCCCAGGTGCACAGGTGCCCGGGTGCCCAAGGGTGCCCGGGTGCCCGGGTGCCTGGGTGCCCGGGCGTGCCCGGGGGTGCCCGGGTGCCCGCGGGTGCCGTATGGCCCTATAGCCCTATAGCCCTATAGCCCTATAGCCCTATAGCCCTATAGCTCAATAGCCCTATAGCCCGATAGCCCCCTAGCCCTATAGCCTTGATTGGGTTTTTTCCCGGTATCGTAATAATAGTATTATTTCTAGTACTACCGCTACTACTACTGCTACAACTACTATTACTACAACTACTTCCACTACTACTACTACTACTACTACTACTACTACTACTACTACTAGTACTACTACTACTACTACTACTACTATCACTACTACTACTACTATCACTACTACTACTACTACTACTACTACTACTACTACTACTACTACTACTACTACTACTACTACTACTACTACTACGTCTAATACTACTACCACTACTATGGCGACTACTACGACTACTCTTACTAGTATTATTATTACTACTACTACTCTTAGTCCTAGTAGTAGTGTTGGTGGTGGTAGTAGTAGTAGTAGTAGTGGTGGTAGTAGTAGTAGTAGTAGTAGTAGTAGTAGTAGCACGACTACTACAACCGCTGCTACGACTAATATTAGTACTACTACCACCATTACCACTACTGCTACTATTACTACTACTACTACTACTACTATCGCTGCGACGACTAAGACTACGATTGCTAATGCTACTACGACTACCAGTATCCTTACCACTGCTACTATTACTAGTGCTTGTATTACCACTATCACGACGAGTGTGACTACGCTTGCGACTACTAACGTTGCAACAACAGCAACAACTCGTATTAGTATAAGAATTACTATGTCTACTACTACTACTACTACTACTACTACTATGTTTACTCCTACTATTAGTATTGTTATTATTACGACGGCGATTATGATTAGTACAAGTATTACCAGAACTACTACCACTACGATAACACCGGCACCTATTACTGCAAGTACTGCGACTACTACATCACGGTTGTTACGATGACTGCTACAAGTATTTGTGTTATATGATTACTACTGTCACTATTACAAGTGATCCTAGTAATAACAACAGCTTCTACTACTTTCAATACCACGGTTAATTTCACTACTACTACTACTACTACTACTACAACTATTACTATTAGCATTGTCATCGCTACCACTACAGCAGCGATAACAACACCTGCTGCTACTACTGCTACTACTACTACTACCACTGCTAGTACAACAACAACTACTACTACTACTTCTACATACTACGTTTACCATTGTTCTTCGTAGCATTATACATACTACCATTATTAATACTACTACGACGACAGCAACTACTAGTACTACTACTACTAGTACTACTACTTCTACTAGTCCTATGATTACGTCTACTACCACTACTATCACTACTACTAGTACTACTACTACTACTTCTACTACTACTATCACCACTACTACCACCATCACAACAATCATTTCTACGACTATGAATATCATTAGTACTACTATGACTCCTCCTCCTACTACTACGACTACTGCGACTACTACTCCCGCTACTACTGCTGCTACTGCTACTACTACTACTACTACTACTACTACTACTACTACTACCCCTGTTGCTACTGCTACTACCTCCACCACCACCACCACTACTACTACTACTACTACTACTACTACTACTACTACTACTACTACTACTACTACTACTACTACTACTACTACTACTACTACTACCTACTACCTACTACTACTACTACAACCTCGTCAAAATTATCCTGGCGAAAGACCCAACCATAAGCAATTGTTGGTAACGCGTTGTGGGTGCCGCTTTCGGTGGGGCTCCATATGGGGCCACGAAGCGCTGCCTTGGATGGGGGAACCGCATGCGGACTGCGCCACCGGGGCGGGCCTTCGGTGGAGCTCCCTATGGGGCTACGAAACGCTGCCCTGGGTGGGGGAACCGCATGCGAACTGCGCCACTGGGGCCTTCGGTGGAGCTCCCTATGGTGCCACGAAACGCTGCCCTGGGTGGGGGAAGCGCATGCGAACTGCGCCACGGGGGCTTTCGGTGGAGCTCCCCATGGGGCCACGAAGCGCTGCCCTGGGTGGGGGAACCGCATGCGAGAGCAGCCACTGGGGCCTTCGGTGGAGCTCCCTATGGGGCCACGAAACGCTGCCCTGGGTGGGGGAACCGCATGCGAACAGCCACTGGGGCCTTCGGTGGAGCTCCCTATGGGGCACGAACGCTGCCCTGGGTGGGGGAACCGCATGCGAACACCCCCACTGGGGCCTTCGGTGGAGCTCCCTATGGGGCCACGAAACGCTGCCCTGGGTGGGGGAACCGCATGCGAACACCCCCACTGGGGCCTTCGGTGGAGCTCCCTATGGGGCTACGAAACGCTGCCCTGGGTGGGGGAACCGCATGCGAACACCCCCACTGGGGCCTTCGGTGGAGCTCCCTATGGGGCCACGAAACGCTGCCCTGGGTGGGGGAACCGCATGCGAACACCCCCACTGGGGCCTTCGGTGGAGCTCCCTATGGGGCCACGAAACGCTGCCCTGGGTGGGGGAACCGCATGCGAACACCCCCACTGGGGCCTTCGGTGGAGCTCCCTATGGGGCCACGAAACGCTGCCCTGGGTGGGGGAACCGCATGCGAACACCCCCACTGGGGCCTTCGGTGGAGCTCCCTATGGGGCTACGAATCGCTGCCCTGGGTGGGGGAACCGCATGCGAACACCCCCACTGGGGCCTTCGGTGGAGCTCCCTATGGGGCCACGAAACGCTGCCCTGGGTGGGGGAACCGCATGCGAACACCCCCACTGGGGCCTTCGGTGGAGCTCCCTATGGGGCTACGAAACGCTGCCCTGGGTGGGGGAACCGCATGCGAACACCCCCACTGGGGCCTTCGGTGGAGCTCCCTATGGGGCCACGAAACGCTGCCCTGGGTGGGGGAACCGCATGCGGGCTGTGCCACTGGGACCTTCGGTGGAGCTCCCTATGGGGCTACGAAACGCTGCCCTGGGTGGAGGGGGAACCCCCATGCGGGCTGGGGCCTTCGGTGGAGCTCCCTATGGGGCCACGAAACGCTGCCCTGGGTGGGGGAACCGCATGCTAACACCCCCACTGGGGCCTTCGGTGGAGCTCCCTATGGGGCCACGAAACGCTGCCCTGGGTGGGGGAACCGCATGCGAACACCCCCACTGGGGCCTTCGGTGGAGCTCCCTATGGGGCCACGAAACGCCACGCCAAACTGGGTGGGGGAACCTGGGGAACCGCATGCGAACACCCCCACTGGGGCCTTCGGTGGAGCTCCCTATGGGGCTGGGTACATGAACACGCGGTGGAGCTCCCCTGGCTGCCCTGGGGGAACCGCATGCGAACACCCCCACTGGGGCCTTCGGTGGAGCTCCCTATGGGGCCACGAAACGCTGCCCTGGGTGGGGAACCGCATGCGAACACCCCCACTGGGGCCTTCGGTGGAGCTCCCTATGGGGCTACGAAACGCTGCCCTGGGTGGGGGAACCGCATGCGAACACCCCCACTGGGGCCTTCGGTGGAGCTCCCTATGGGGCTACGAAACGCTGCCCTGGGTGGGGGAACCGCATGCGAACACCCCCACTGGGGCCTTCGGTGGAGCTCCCTATGGGGCCACGAAACGCTGCCTTGGGTGGGGGAACCGCATGCGAACACCCCCACTGGGGCCTTCGGTGGAGCTCCCTATGGGGCTACGAGACGCGCGAGAGGTGTGCCGAGAGCAGAGGCAAGGAGGGGGAGGAGGGAGGAGGGGGAAGAGGAGGAGGAGAGGACGCGGGCACCGTCTCTTCAAAACGAGGACCCAACACCACAGGATGGTTGGGAAATAAACTGAGGGTTTCTGTTTTTGGTGATTCTATTGTCAGCGCTACTCCAATGCTGACGCTAGATATCTGACGTCGACGCAAGGGCTTCAAAAATCCGACGACCCCTCCGCAGCATTGAAGAACGCAGTTTCTATCAAGTGCCCGAGAAGATCGATCGTCGTGATGTCCAACTGCGTTTCTGTTTAGTAATGACGAGGCTTGTATCACTACTACCACTACTACTACTACTACTACTACTACTACTACTATTACTACTACTACTACTACTACTACTACTACTACTACTACTACTACTACTACTACTGCGACTACGACGACTACTACTACTGCTACTACTACTACTACTACTACTACTACTACTACTACTACTACTACTACTACTACTACTACTGCTGCTGCTGCTGCTGCTGCTGCTTGCTGCTGCTACTACTACTACTACTACTACTACTAACTACTACTACTCACTACTAACTACTAACTACTACTACTACTACTACTACTACTACAACTACTACTACTACTACTACTACTAATACTACTACTACTACTACTACTACTACTACTACTACTACTACTACTACTACTACTGCTACTACTCTACTACTGCTACTACTACTACTACTACACTACTGCTACTACTACTACTACTACTACTACTACTACTACTACTACCATTACTACTACTACTACTACTACTACTACTACTACTACTACTACTACTACTACTACTACTACTACTACTACTACTACTACTACTACTACTACTACCAATATTGCACTCCGTGCGCCCTGCATCCGCACACCCGAGCTGCCACGGAACACATTTCCCCCCCCCCGGCACCCCGAATTCTTTTATCGTCAGGGGGTTCATAATTATCACGGGCGCTCGTGTGTTCGGGATGGGCAACCGTCCCTGGGGAAAGTGCTTGGACTCTTGGAGACCCCGCATTGAACAAATAATTACCTCGGCGACGTATTCAACCCTTGGGCAATGCGGGGCAAAAGTACATCAGGATTGCTACAACGGGGGCGGTGACGTAACATGGACGCATGAGATTTTGCGAGCAGCGATTGGAAGGTTCGCAGGCCCCTGATCAAAATACCAGGGCTACGTAATAGCAAATCACCCCCGTTGGCTGTGCCATGCGCCCGTTGCGCCCAACGTATCCCGCAGCAGCTCTTGAGAGCCCCCGCGGGATACGTGTAGGCGCAACGTTACAGCCATCGCCCGGCATATGGTCTGTTTCACAATTTACCCCCGTTGGCTGCGTCATGCGCCCGTTGCGCCTAACGTATCCCGCAGCAGCTCTCCAGAGCCCCCCAGGGACGGCGAGGTCTCGCTCAGGTCCCCGCGGTGCCTCATTCCGCTGGACCCACCAGCAACCCTCGAAAGTGGCGACAGTGTCCCAGATCGCAGCCCCTCCAGGGACGGCGAGGTCTCGCTCAGGTCCCCGCGGTGCATCAGTCCGCTGGACCCAGCAGCAGCCCTCGAAAGTGGCGACAGTGTCGCAGATCGCAGCCCCCTTGGGACGGCGAGGTCGTGGCTCAGTCCGCAGGACCCAGCAGCAGCCCTCGAAAGTGGCGACAGTGTCGCAGATCGCGGCCCCCAGGGACGGCGAGGTCTCGCTCAGGTCCCCGCGGTGCCTCACTCCGCTGGACCCACCAGCAACCTTCGAAAGTGGCGACAGTGTCGCAGATTGCGGCCCCCCAGGGACGGCGAGGTCTCGCTCAGGTCTCTGCGGTGCCTTACTCCGCTGGACCCAACAGCAACCGTTGAGAGTGGCGACAGTGTCGCAGATCGCAGCCCCTCCAGGGAAGGCGAGGTCTCGCTCAGGTCTCCGCGGTGCCTCACTCCGGTGGACCCAACAGCAGCCGTTGAAAGTGGCGAGAGTGTCGCAGATCGCAGCCCCTCCAGGGAAGGCGAGGTCTCGCTCAGGTTCCCGCGGAGCCTCATTCCGCTGGGCCCACCAGCAGCCTTCGAAAGTGGCAAAAGTGTCGCAGATCGCAGCCCCCCCAGGGACTGCGAGGTCCCGCTCAGGTCCCCACGGTGCTTCATTCCGCTGGACCCACCAGCAGCCTTCGAAAGTGGCGACCGTGTCGCAGATCGCAGCCCCCCAGGGCCGGCGAGGTCTCGCTCAGGTCCCCGCGGTGCCTATCCCGCTGGACCCACCAGAAAACCTCGAAAGTAGCGACGGTGTCGCAGATCGCAGCCCCCCACGGACGGCGAGGTCTCGCTCAGGTCCCCGCGGTGCCTCACTCCGCAAGACCCACCAGCAGCCTTCGAAAGTGGCGACTGTGTCGCAGATCGCAGCCCCCCCAGGGCCGGCGAGGTGTCGCTCAGGTCCCCGCGGTGCCTCACTCCGCTGGGCCCACCAGCAGCCCTCGAAAGTGGCGACGATGTCGCAGATCGCAGCCCCCCCAGGGACGGCGAGGTCTCGCTCAGGTCCCCGCGGTGCCTCAGTCCGCAGGACCCAGCAGCAGCCCTTGAGAGTGGCGACAGTGTCGCAGATCGCAGCCCCCCAGGGACGGCGAGGTCTCGCTCAGGTCCCCACGGTGCCTCACTCCGCTGGACCCACCAGCAGCCCTCGAAAGTGGCGACAGTGTCGCAGATCGCAGCCTCCCAGGGACGGCGAGGTCTCGCTCAGGTCCCCGCGGTGCTTCAGTCCGCAGGACCCACCAGCAGCCCTCGAAAGTTGCGACGGTGTCACAGATCGCAGCCCCCCAGGGACGGCGAGGTCTCGCTCAGGTCCCCGCGGTGCCTATCCCGCTGGACCCCAAGCCCTCGAAAGTGGCGACAGTGTCGTAGATCGCAGGCCCCCCAGGGAAGGCGAGGTCTCGCTCAGATCCCCGCGTTGCTTCACTCCGCAGGACCCACCAGCAGCCTTCGAAAGTGGCGACGGTGTCACAGATCGCAGCCCCCCAGGGACGGCGAGGTGTCGCTCAGGTCCCCGCGGTGCCGCAGTCCGCAGGACCCATCAGCAACCTTCGAAAGTGGCGGCAATGTCGCAGATCGCAGCCCCCCCCAGGGACGGCGAGGTCTCGCTCAGGTCCCCGCGGTGCTTCGCTCCGCTGGACCCACCAGCAGCCTTCGAAAGTGGCGACGGTGTCGCAGATCGCAGCCCCCCAGGGACGGCGAGGTCTCGCTCAGGTCCCCGCGGTGCCTCACCCCGTTGGACCCACCAGCAGCCTTCGAAAGTGGCGACAGTGTCGCAGATCGCAGCCCCCCCAGGGACGGCGAGGTCTCGCTCAGGTCCCCGTGGTGCCTCATTCCGCTGGACCCAGCAGCAACCCTCGAAAGTGGCGATAGTGTCGCAGATCGCAGCCCTCCCAGGGACGGCCTCCCCAGCAGCCCTCGAAAGTGGCGACAGTGTCGCAGATCGCGGCCCCCCAGGGATGGCGAGGTCCGAACAAAGCAAGAGGAGACAAGAGGGGAGCGGGAGACGGGAGGCGGGAGGAGGAGGAGGAGGAGGAGGAGGAGAGGATGAGGAGGAGAGGGAGGAGGAGAGAGGAGGAGGAGGAGCGAGGAGGAGGGAGGAGGAGGCGGGAGGAGGAGGAGGAGGAGGAGGAGGAGGACCGGAGACCGCAGTGCTCTATTCAAAACGAATACCCAACCAAGGAGGGTTGGGAACAATACGTCAGATGCTTGGAATGGCGGCGGCGGCAGTGCGGCAGCGGCGGCGTTGATGTTGGCGAAGACGACGGCGGCTGCGGCAACGGCGTTGGTGGTGGCGGCGGCGGCGGCCCTTGGGGGTGCGCAGGCCAGAGCTGGAGCCGCTCCGGGAGCTGCTGGCCGCGTGGGGCGGCAGCCTTGGGGGCGCCAGGACTGGCGGCGAGGCCGCCAGCAAGGCTCGGCAGTGCGCGCATTGTGTTAGGTACACACATATATATATATATATACATACATGTGTATACATATGTATATATATACACATACATACATATGTGTATACGTACATTTACACACATATAGGCATATCTATGGTTATCTGTATTTGTATATCTATATATCCATAGGTACATGTACTTGTATATATATATATATATATGTAGATATATGCATTCATATAGTTCGGTTACATTTACATAGTTACACCGCCATATGTATATGCACATAACGATACGTATAAACATGTATCGATAACTCTTGACGTTTCGCGTATTCCCACCAGCCCATCCAGAAATGATGCTTATGAGAGTTGACGGTGGGAGAGGAACAGACACACATAGTCAAACAGCGAGGGAGGCTTGGGAGGCTCCGTGGCCATCTCGAGCCCTCGTGGAGCGGTCGTGGGGCCGCTTGGGGCATTTTGGGAGGCATCTTGAGCCAGCTTGGGCTATCTGAGCCATCTTGGAGGTCATCTTGGGCTCTCTGAGGCCGCTCGGGGGCCTCTTGGGTGCCGCTCGGGTGCCTCTTGGAGCCCTCTTGGGGCCTCTTGGGGCGCTCTTAGAACCCTCCTGGGGTCTCTTGGGAGCCCTGGAGGGCCTCTTGGGGCCATCTTTGAGGCGGTCGGTCAATTAGCCTGGCGAAGGACCCAACCATTCTGCAGTTTTGAGTACCGCAACTGTGAATATCTTCTTCAGTGGCGCTCCCTACGGGGCCACGAACCGGATGAGGGGTGTGCCGAATTGCGCGGCGGGGTGCACAGCACGAACGAAGACGATTGGTTGAATTACGAGAGATTGAGCGCGGGTGAGTCTGAGCGCGAGTGAGTCTGAGTGTGAATGAGTCTGCGTGCGAGTGGGTCGTGGGCGAGTCAAACGCGCAACCAGAAGGAGCTCTGGGCCACTGGAGCCTTCGGTGTGCCGAAACGGGAGGAACGCTTACATGCGAATTGTGTCACGGGGGCCACGAAACGTGTGCCAAAATTGGCGGCGAGGCCATGCGGACTGCGCCACTGGGACCTTAGATGTAGCTTCCTATGGGGCCACGAAGCGTGCGTGGGTGTGCCCAAATGGGGCGGCGCCGCCATGCGGAGTACGCCACTGGGACCTCATGTAGAGCTCCCTATGAGGCCACGAAGCGTGTGACGGGTGTGCCAACATGGGGCGGCACCGCAATGCGGGCTGCGCCATTGGGACCGTATGTGGAGCTCCCTATGGGGCCACGAAGCGTGTGAGGGGTTTGCCCAAATGGGGCGACGCCGCCATGCGGACTGCGCCACAGGGACCGTAGGTGGAGCTCCCTATGGGGCCACGAAGCGCGTGAGGGGTGTGCCAAAATGGGACGTCGCCGCCATGCGGGCTGCGCCACTGGGACCGTAGGTGGAGCTCCCTATGGGGCCACGAACCGTATGAGGAGTGTGCCAAACTGGGGCGGGGATGCCATGCGGACTGCGCCACTGGGACCCTAGGTGGAGCTCCCTTATGGGGCCACGAAGCGCGTGAGGGGTGTGCCAAAATGGGGCGGGGATGCCATGCGGGCTGCGCCACTGGGACCGTAGGTGGAGCTCCCTATGGGGCCACGAAACGTGTGAGTGGTGTGCCAAACTGGGGCGGCGCCGCAATGCGGACTGCGCCACTGGGACCCTAGATGGAGCTCCCTATGGGGCCACGAAACGTGTGAGGAGTGTGCCAAACTGGGGCGGGGATGCCATGCGGACTGCGCCACTGGGATCCTAGATGGAGCTCCCTATGGGGCCACGAAACGTGTGAGGGGTGTACCAAACTGGGGCGGCGGCGCCATGCGGGCTGCGCCACTGGGACCTTAAGTGGAGCCCCCTGTGGGGCCACGAAACGTGAGAGGGGTGTGCCAAAATGGGGCGGCGCCGCCATGCGGGCTGCGCCTCTGGGACCCTAAATGGAGCTCCCTATGGGGCCACGAAGCGTGTGAGGGGTGTACCAACATTGGCGGGAATGCCATGTGGACTGCGCCACTGGGACCTTCGGTGGAGCTCCCTATGGGGCCACGAAACGTGTGAGGGGTGTGCCAAAGTGGGGCGGGGGCGCCATGCGGGTTGCGCCACTGGGACCTTCGGTGGAGCTCCCTATGGGGCCACGAAACGTGTGAGGGGTGTACCAAACTGGGGCGGCGGCGCCATGCGGGCTGCACCACTGGGACCTTAAGTGGAGCCCCCTGTGGGGCCACGAAACGTGAGAGGGGTGTGCCAAAATGGGGCGGCGCCGCCATGCGGGCTGCGCCTCTGGGACCCTAGATGGAGCTCCCTATGGGGCCACGAAGCGTGTGAGGGGTGTACCAACATTGGCGGGAATGCCATGTGGACTGCGCCACTGGGACCTTCGGTGGAGCTCCCTATGGGGCCACGAAACGTGTGAGGGGTGTGCCAAAATGGGGCGGGGGCGCCATGCGGGTTGCGCCACTGGGACCTTAGATGGAGCTCCCTATGGGGCCACGAAACGTGTGATAAGTGGTGTGCCAAAATGGGGCGGCGGTGCCATGCGGGCTGCGCCACTTGCACCTTAGATGGAGCTCCCTATGGGGCCACGACACGTGTGAGGGGTGTGCCGAAACAGAGACATGCGGAGAGCAAAGGCAAGGAGGGGGAGGAGGGAAAAGGAGAAGGAACAAGATGAGGAGGAGGAGGAGGAGGAGCAGGAGGAGGAGGAGGAGGAGGAGGAAGAGGAAGGAAGGAGGAGAAGAACGTGGGGCACCGTCTCTTCAAAACGAGGACCCAACACCACAGGATGGCTGGGAAAAAGGGGGCGTACTCGATGTCCCCCCCCCCCCTCTCTTGGAGGCCACGATCTTCGTGAGTGGTGTCAAGAAATGGCCCTCCCAGGGGCCGATAAAGGACCCTCTGGCACATCGTCCCCCCTCGAAAAATACCACAGGGAGGGGAGGTGGAGGGTTCCCCTCCCCAAAGGGAGGAGGGGTTTTGGAAGAGGAAATAATCCCTCGTTAGACCACCTGTCGCCCAAAGGGCTTGTGGGACTAGATATAGAGTCAGTTGCATCTGTTTATATGTATATACGGAAGCATGCACATATTTTTAAACTAGTTGTTGCTGCTTTGTCGTCGCGCCTTTTTCATGCTTCTTGCTCCTGGTCCCGCCCTCGCGGCCACGGCTGAGCGTAACTCCAGCGGCTGGTCAGGACGGGCCCTGGGGAGGCCGTCACGCCTGCCGCAAGGGCACGCCTGCTCCAGAGCCGTGCCCTGGGGCTCGGAGGGGCGGCGGACGTGGACCCCCGCCCGCCCGTTGTGGACGGGGCCACGTCCAGGTCCACTGCTCCCCAAGGGGCCGTGGCCTGGATTGCAAGGGCCGAGGGTGTGGATGATGCCTGCCCGTGCAGAGGCCGTCTCCGCCGAGCCGCTGGACGCGGGCGACGCGGCCGTGGAGGCCGTGGAGGCCGTGGAGGCCGTGGAGGCCGTGGAAGCCGTGGGGCCGCGCCCCCCGCAGGGCGACGTCATGGAGCTGGAGTCGGACGAGGAGATGGAGATGCGCGCGCTGGAGATGCGGCTGCCCGCGGGTCTGCTGGAGAGGTCAGCATCGTCCGACCGATCCCCCCACCACTGGGCCATGGCATCTCGGCCCCACCAGCCCGCTCCCCCAGGTGGTGATGGGTTCCGCGAGGCCCGAGGTGAACAGCACAGGTATATGTACGTGTATGTGTGTATACATGGTATACTTGGTATACACATGTATACGTACAAAATGTCATATCCCCCCACCCTGGGGGGGCAAGTCGGCCAGTGGGGCCAAGGCCATGCCAGTGGAGGTTTTGGGTCGGCGAAGCGATGCTCAAGAGGGAGCTGGAGGACGAGGAGGACCTGCTCGCCCCCGGTGAGGCGCCCGCGCCAGACCCCGAGCGGGTGCCGCGGGACCGCCCGCCGTACCCGCGGCTGCCCCCGAGGCAGCTCGGCGAGGCCTCCGGCGCCCGGAGGAAGCTGCTGGCCGCCGCGCAGAAGCAGGCGACCGAGGCGCTCTCCGGGGGCGGCGCCGACAAGGCGCTCGAGAGGTACACGGAGGTGATCTGCGCCGGCGGGGCCACGGCTTTGATGCTGGCCACGCGTGCAGCCCTGCTGCTGAAGCTGGGGCGCCCGGCTGCGGCCATTCGCGACTGCACTGCCGCGCTGCAGCTGAACGTCGCGTGCGGCAGGGCCTTCCACATACGTGGCGTGGCTCACCGGAGGCTCGGGCACTGGCAGAAGGCCCACCGCGACCTGTCTGAGGGCCAGCGGCTGGACTTCAGCCAGGACTCCGTCAGCGTGCACATGCTCGTGGCCCAGAAGGTGTCTACGATGCAGGATCTGAAGACGGGCCGCTGGCATTCGGTGGAGGGGGCGAAGAAGGCCGTGGAGCTGCTGGACGACAAGAAGAAGAGCAGCGGACCTGGCCTGAGACCCGGGCAGGCTGTGAGGGTGTTCGGTCTGAGCAAGGCCCCGCACCTCAACGGCAGGCGCGCCCTTGTGCAGAAGCCGTCGGCTAAGGGGGACGGCCGCTGGGAGGTCGAGATCCGGCTCGAGCGAGGCCGAGGGGGAGGAGGACCCAGACCACCAACGCATCGGGGAAACACAGAGCTACAGACATGTATGTATGTATGTATGTATGTATGTATGTATGTATGTATGTATGCATGCATGCATGCATGCATGCATGCATGCATGCATGTATGTATGTATGTAGGTATGTATGTATTTTTGTTTGTATGTATTCGTGCATGTATGTATGTGTGTATGCATGTATGCATGAATGTCTGCCTGTCTGTATGTAGGTATGTATATGTATCTGTGTATGTATGTTTATGTATATATATATATGTATATATCTATGCACATGTATATGTATATGTAGCTGTATATATGAATGAGTGTATGTCTGTATGCATGTATGTATGCGTGCATGAATGTATGTGTGTATGCATGTATGCTTGCATGTCTGTATGTGTGTATGCATGCTTGTCTACATATACATATATGTATATATATGTGCATGTATGTATGTCTGCACGCATGTACATACGCGTGTATGTATGTATGTATGTATGTACGTATGTCATGTCATGTCATGTCATGTCATGTCATGCCATGTCATGTGTTGTAATATAATGTAATGTAAAGTATTATAACGCAATGCCGTATAATGTATTGTAATGTACTGCAATGCAATTTATTGTAGTGCATTCTATTGTAACATAGGTATGTAATGTATGTAATGTAATGCATGTGTGGTTTTCTTATGTGTGTTTGTAAGTATGCATGCATGTATGCGATGTTTGTAATTCGTGCAATGTATGCAATGCATGTATGCGTGTATGTATGTATGCATGCGAACATTCATGCATGGATGCATGCATGACTGCATGTATGTATGCATGCATGTATGTATGTATGTATGTATGTGTGTAAGTAAGTAAGTGAGTACGTACGTACGTATGTATGTACGTATGTACGTACATACGTACGTATGCGTGCATGCATGCATGCATGCATGGGCAAACATCGCCTCTGGGAGGACTCCGACAGCCGTCGAGTCAGCCTGAGACGGCCCCGAGTCACCCCCAACAGGGTCTCGAGGGCTCTCAGATTGTCCAAGCAAGCTTTTCAAGCTGCCCAGAGGCGTCCAGGACGCTTCAAAACCGCTCCAAGAGGATCCCCAAGAGTGCCTCCATAAGCAACAATTGCCCCATCTCCTACGCAAAATATGCATTGTTAGCATACGTGTTTGCCTTCTCGATTTGAACACGGTCCAAGACGACCCAAGAGGTCTCCAAAATCGCCCTGGAGCTGCCCAGGAGGCCCCCATGAGGGTTCCTATCGGCGTCACCCCGACATAGTGATACTATGTGTGCATCGCCCCCCCAGGGGCGACGCGCGCGCCGAGAAATCTTATAGTGTAAGCTTCGTGTCGCCTTCTTTCTGACCATACCGCTCATGAGCGGATATGCTGCAAGATGTTTGTATTATATGTTTGGGTCGGACGCACTCCTCCGAGGAAGACTCATAGTACTGGTATGTCCTTGTGCGTCCCACCCTACACTGCCCAAGAGGGCCCCAAGACGGACCAAGAAGCCCCGAAAGCGGCCCAAGAAGGGCCCAAGAGGGGGAACCCGAGCTGCAATTTCGGACGTTTCGCCCAAAGATGACCCCTGAGGCCGCCAACAGGCCCCCGAGAGGCCCCAAGAGGCTCGCGGGAGGCCCAAAAGAGTATTTCAGAGACCCAGGAGGCCCCCTAAGAAGGCTCCAAAGACCCCCCAAAGGGCCCCCCAACCGGGCTCCGAGAGACTTCCAAAGCGAGCCCAAGATACGTCTACGAGGCCTCTGACCCACAACCCAGCCATTCTCCACTGATCGATCTTAGACCGCCGTCAAGGCGGCTCCAGATGGCCCCGAATCGCTGCCAAGACGGTTTCGAAGAGTCTCCGACGGCCTGGGGGACGCAGCCTGTTTGTTTCGCTGCCGCCGGCGTTGTCACGCGTCGTTGGGTACCTCACCCATCATCGCGGTCGGATTGCGGTGCTGGTCCATTGGTCAGCACCCTACCAATCTACGCTGGACCGCTGGTTTGGCCACAACACCAATCTGCCTAGCAGCATTTATTCTTTGCGCTTCACTGTCTAACACCACTGTAGTGATTCAGTGGCCGCAATTCGCCCTGGGCTGTCGCGCGTCAGTTCACTTTTAGTTGAGTGCTCTCTTCGTTTTCTGGCCGCTGCATGCGCTTTTGGAGTTACAGTTCCTCTAACCCACCCATCGCTTGCATGTTGCAGTGTGCGACACTTGTTCGCTGCGCAATCGACAGTTCTCGGTAGCAATTCACACTTCATTCACTTTCAGCTTGTGCCTGAGGACCCTGTGCGCCGCTGACGCCGCTGACCTAAAAAGTGTGTGTGCCCTGGTCACTTGAAATTCTTGACGCGTCAGGTGTCCCCACCAGGTTTCTCTGTTTCTTCTCTCGTGTGCAATTCAGGCTTCTGCTGGTTCGCTGTAGCTTTGGACGGCGCGCGGCCCTTCCGTTTGCGCTCGCGATTAAAAAGTGTCCCCACCAGCCCAGGAAATCCGACGCCTGGGCAACTTGAGACGAGTATGGAAGCGTAGGAGCAACAGGGGGGACAGTCGTTAGCGTTCGAGGGATGGGGGGGAGGAGGAGGCTTTGGAGGAGGAGGAGTAGGAGTAGGAGTAGGAGCAGGAGCATGAGCAGGAGTAGGGGTAGGAGTAGGAGTAGGAGTATTATTATCATTTGTAGTAGTAGTAGTAGTAGTAGTAGTAGTAGTAGTAGTAGTAGTAGTCGTAGAATTAGTGGTAGTAGTAACCTTATTATGATTATTACTATTAGTAGTAGTCGTAGTAGTAGTCGTAGTAGTAGTCGTAGTAGTAGTAGTAGTAGTCGTCGTCGTCGTCGTCGTAGTAGTAGTAGTAGTAGTAGTAGTAGTAGTAGTAGTAGTCGTAGCAGTAGTAGTAGTAGCAATAGTAGTAGTAGTAGTAGTAGTAGTAGTAGTAGTAGTAGTAGTAGTAGCAGCAGTA